CAGCCCTGCCCCTCCTCCCAGAGCCTACTCGATTGAGGTTAATGGGATTCCAGCCTCCCTAGGCCCAGTGGAAAGCCAGGGTGACCTACTTTGCGAGGTCCTGCCCGTTGAAACTGACTTGTTTTTCAATGATCTTCATCTTTATCCCCAGCACCACTTCTCAAAGGACAGCCATGAATGAACAAATTAGTTGCTGACTTGTTTAGCTCAATAAATCAAGCTGTAGCTCCGACAGCCCAACCCCAGGTAGAGACAGGAAAGACAGATTCTGAACAAACTGCACATCCTTCACTAGTTCCTCTGGCCCTGAAGTGGAAAATGCCCAGGTTTCCTGCAAATCAATTCTGAATTTCCATCACCCAGTTCCTCCAGTGTGGTCTGAGCGCTAAGAATTATTGGAATTCTTAAAAATACTTACTTCCTTTCTTATAATGAATCTTGGAAAGGACTGCAGTCTCTTAAATTATTCCCAGGAACTCCCCTTAATGAACATTTTATTAGTCAATGTCCCTATGTGTGAGGTCAGTGGAGTAGAGACATGTTCACCTTCTCCAGAAATCCAAAGCCACCCTTGCCCAAGAGGCCAGAGACATCTTTCTCTTAAATCCAAACTGGGAGTTCCAGGGCCCTCCCTGCCTCCTGCAGCATTCCATGTCTCCAGGACAGAAAAGGAAGACACGCCTTGGACTAGAGGAGCAGGTGGTAGATCTGAGTCTGCAGGTGGATCAGGAGTTCCTGATACCTCCTGGTTACAGTTTCTCCAGCACCTTAGGAATCTCACTCAAACCTCTCTCCACCCACCCAGGACTAAAAGAGCCTAGTGAATGACTTGGGCGCCCCCTTGTGTCTGGTTGAGTTTCTGCAGGTGTGAAAACGAGGATTGTTTGGAGCATATGAGAGACAGAACCCAGCCTATGAATGGTTTAGTAAACACTCCTGAGTCTCACTGGTGTATGTAATTTGCAAGGGGAGAATAAATCTCTAGAAGAAGAAAAACTAATTTCTTTTGCGATGTTTTCAGAAGTTTTGTTTGGAAAAACTGCACGAAAAGAAAATCAGCCTTTACCAAGTCCTATTATGTGTCAGTCACAATGAGAAGTGATATCCTCACAATAAAACCCTGAGATAGGTATGATGATGTTCCCATTTTGCAGATGTAGTAACTTCAAAGAAAGGTGGGGTAAAGGCTGCTGTGTCAGCAAATAATTCAGTGACTGAACCAAGATTCAGATCCAACTGTCCATGCCAATGCCCTGGGGTTCTTCCCTGCACACCACACTACCTTCTAAATGTAAAAGGAGGAAATGTTTCTCTGTTCTCATTTTTCTGATGTGAATTGTCTGTTTGTAAATTTCCTTCACTGGGGTTGTGGTCTTTTTCTTAGAGATTTGGGTTATATCTGTACAATATTAACACTTTGTTTGTTACACTTAACAGAGACATTTTGCTAACACACCATTTTTTTTTCTATAATTCAGGCACAGGTTGAAAATTCCTTGTCCAAAATGTTTGGGACCAGAGGTATTTGGGATTTTTTTAAGTTTTCAGGTTTTGGAATATTTACATATACATAATGAGGTATCTTGGAAATGGGATCCAAAACTAAATTCTTTTCTGTTTCAGATACACCTTATACACATAATCTGAAAGTAATTTTATGCAGTATTTTTAGTGCACCAGCATTTTGACTGTGACCCAACACATGAAGTTGGATGTGGAATTTGTCCATTTGTGGTGTTATGTCAGTGTTCAAAAGTTTAAGATTTTGGAGCATTTCAGATTTCAAACTTTTTGGATTAGGGATATTAAACATGAACTATTGTTTTCACTATAAAGATGTTTTTGGCTAAAGTATAATTCAAGTAGTTAACTTTTTTCTTTGTGATTTCTTTTATAGTCTCAAAATTTAGAAATTTAACATTTATCTGTTGTTGTTTTTTTCCTTGAACAGTGGATTTTTTTCTGATTTTGTTGCTTTCTGTTGACTCAGGCTTTATTATTTGGTATATTAGATATGAAACCAATATTTTTTATAATTTAGCCCAACCCCACTTGTACAATATTTCCTTCCACTCTAACTTGAGTAGCCTATTTGTATAAGTCCTTACCTATAGTTTCTGGAATCTCCATTCTATGCCACTGACTTATATTTCCATTTTATCTTGAACATCAGACCATTCTGATTATCATGCTTTATCATATACTCTGGTGTGTGGTATGACTAGATCAACTCTGTTTTCTAGAAAATGGATTCAAATTTAATTCCCAGATAGAAAAATGAAACCGAATTAGCAAAAATATCATATCTTGGAAGACATGGTTTATAAAAAGGCATAAATAAGAACTTTTGTTATGGCTTGAACAAAGAACTCCAGTCCAATCTGGCATTTCCTAAAGAAAACTCACATAGGTTCTTATCCATTTCATTATTTTAAATAGAATTTTATAATAGAAGTAGTAAATACTGTGAAGTGATTTTTAATTAAATTTGAAGGTCAAAGGAAGAACAAGAGCTCTACATTCATCTCCAAGATTAATTCATTTATTTCAACAAACATTTGAAGAGAACCCACTGCATGCCAACTCCTAAGCTAAGCAGTGGGATATGCTATAACCAAGAAAAGAAGGTCCCTACTCTATTGGGACCTGATAGGGAAAACAGGGAGGTTGGACTGGGGTATAAAGCAGCCCCAGTAAGATGCCAAGGCTCTTGATTGGCAGTTCCTGCAGGACAGGCCAGAACTACATCCTGTAAATCCCTCTGTGAGCAACATCACAGCTCCCCAGACTACAATCTTTGGAGAAGCCTGGTCTTTAAGGCAGCTGCTGAAACCACTGATCCATATGCCAAAAAATGCACACACAGGGAAAGGATGTTTTTATCTGGCTAACCTCATAGCAGACTATGTCAGTGTAGTACTTCAGCAGTTTGTAAAATCTCCCAGAAATGCATCTCATTTGGCCCTCATGTAGGTATTGTTAGATGACAACACTGAGACTCAAAGACAGTGTGGGACTTGCCTGAGATCTAGAGCTAGTAAGGAGAGTAGCTCAAACCATCACATAGCCATTGGTTCAGTGGTCCACTGAGCAAGTACTGAGGTGCAGTTGTGAAATTTAAGGTTCCTGCCTTCAAGAAGCCCCCAGTGACCAGACAGTATAGAAGCAATTGCAATCATAGGGTCTGGCTACCGAGACCTCACAGCGTGTGGAAATATAGACCAAGGATGCTTACCTCAGCTAGGTGATCAGAAAGGATCCTGGAAGAGGTGACTCATGAGCTGAGACTTGAAGTGCATGAAGAGCACCAGAAGGGATTATTAAAACAGATTGTGGGGACTAATAATAAGTGCTGGAAGGATGTGAGGAAAAGGGAACATGAGACAGTCATGGTGGGATGGCACATTAGTACAGCCAGGAAGGAAATCAGTGTGGAGGTTCCTCAAAAGACTAGAAATGGAACCATCATATGACCCAGGTATACTAGTCCTCAGTACCTACCCAAAGGAGTTAAAGTCAGGATACTACAGTGACACATGCATACCCTGTTTATAGCAGCACAATTCACAATAGCCAAGTTATGGAACCAGCCCAGATGTCCATCAACAGATGAATAGATTTTTAAAATGTGATATATATACACAACGGAGTTTTATTCAGCCATAAAAGAAAGAAATAATGTCATTTGTGGGAAAATGGGTGGAACTTGAGCGCATTCTATTAATTGTTTAAATTTTCCACTGTGACATCCTGTCAGTGCTCCAAGTGTTAGATTTTGAAGCAGTTCAGATTTTAGATTCTCAGATTAAGGGTGCTCAACCTGCAATAAAAATGACTCAGGTGGCAGGAGCTGGGCAAAGTACTGTGTTCAAGTTGGCTCATTTAACATAATAACCCTTTGGAGCTGACATATGTTATCCCCATTTTAAAGATTTGGACACTGAGACACAGAAAGGTTTTGGGAATTTGCCTAAGGAGGTGCAGCTGTGTGAAGTGGAGCTAAGATGAACACCCAGGCTCCCCTCCTCCTATGCTTTCTGTCTGGTCCCATCTGGCTGCCAGAACCTGATGACGGGGTTCCACAGGGCCCACCAGATCTGGAGTCATTGCTTTCTGGGGCCAGGTGAGGGCCGCCAGAAGCAGCTGGTACCAACAGAAGGTTTTAAGACTCCGGAACAGCTGAGGTGGACCAGCTGCCAGCTGGACTAAATATACCAGTTGGTCCCCAGCCAGGGATTCCCCACAGTTAGCAGCCGGGGGGGTATAAAAAGTGACACCAACTGACTTGAAGTCTCAGTCTCTGCTACCTGTGTCTCCCAGTTCACTCATTTCTGTTCACTCGCATTGCCTCTCCATAGAACAGGATAATAATTCTAACACCGCAAGATTGTCATGAGGGGAAAATAAAATAACAAGGGTCAGCCACAAGTAAATAGGATTCTTTTCCTCCCCAGACTTTTCAGTGGGCAGCCACCATTTATCTCATGAAGCCCAGTCCCTACTGGAACCTCCTCTTAGTAACCCAGGGGTGATGGAGGTTGAAGAGCTGCCCTTGGGGCTGTAGAGCTGAGAGGTCATTTTCTGCAGCTGGAAGTCATCAGCCAAAGGAGAATGGTTCTGTAGCTGGACCCCTGCTTCCAATGGGAGAAAATGGCCAGGGAATCAGGTGTGAGTCGTTGGGTGTGTCCTGCTGCGAGACACGGCCTTGCCGTGGAAGGCCTCTTAAAGGGAATAGAGGCAGCAGACATGGGGACCCCTGCAATGGCCCAGTGGAGCTCTCAGAATGACACATTAAAGATAGATAGAGTAACCACATGGGGCTCACTCACTTCGTGTTTCTCCAAGAAGTGGGCTCAGAAGACAGAAGAGCAAAACCCAGTAATGGCCAGAGAATCTGCCTCCTCTGTCCCTTGTGTCCTCGAGTCATGTCCCAACCACATGTCCCCCAGAGTATGCACCCTTTATCCCCTAATATACAGCCCTCTGTATTTGGTTTCCAGGAGAGCAGCACCGTCAGCTGAATTTTCAGTAGATAGGACACGCCACTTAATGTCCTTCCTGACCATGATGGGCCCTAGTCCCGACTGGAATGTGGGCTTATCTGCAGAGGATCTGTGCACCAAGGAATGCGGCTGGGTCCAGAAGGTGGTGCAAGATCTGATTCCCTGGGACGCCGGCACTGACAGCGGGGTGACCTATGAGGTAGGTGTGCCTGAGTGGTGAATGGCAGGCTTCCTAAGCACTTCTTTTTCAGTCAAGTTATAGAATTTGACCTAGAACTCTACCATGGATAGGACTGGTACAGAGTGGGCATTCAATTTTATGTCCTCCTTCATCTGTCCCCTGCACATTCCCTTCCTCGGGCTCACCCCTATTTGGGTGTCCTGGATCTGGGGGTGAGTCTGACCCTGCTGTTCTAGAAGAACTTAGTCTGGAAGGAGAGGTCAACATCGTCTCATCATCACATACACAATGATTCAGGCTCTGGACAGGATCCTTGCAGTGACCAGAGCACAGAAAGGGAATCTGCTAATGAGCAGATCACAGGTAAGCAAGGGCAGCATGCCAAGGACAGGGGCAGAGACACACAGACTGAAGGAAGTTGTGTTTGCTTAAGATTGGGCCAGATTTTAAAGTGTGAGGAGTTTATTCTTGCCTGGTTGTCACATATTTCTTAGACATGGTCAACATACCAAACTGCAATGAAATCTGAAGCCATCACAAAACCACTGGGAGAACAATCTAGAACAGGCATCAGCACACTATGGTTTTGAGATAATCTACCCTGTACCCTGATTTGTAAATAGTTTTCAAAGCCAGCTACACATCCAATTACATATTGTCTTTCTCACTAAAAGGGCTGAGCAGAGTAGTTGTGACAGACAATGTGACTCACAAAGCCTAAAATATTTACCATCTGACCTGTTATGAAAAAAAAAATTGCTGCCTGGTCCAGTAGAAGAGATTGGGATTCAAGCCAAACTGGCTTAGCCATTTCTGAGCTAGGATGGAACTTGGTTTGTTCATCTGGCACAATCCTGGTGTGTGTGTGTGTGTGTGTGTGATGCTGGAGTTTGAACCCAGGGCCTCATGCATGCTAAGCAAGTGCTTCACCAGTAAACCACATCCCCGTGGAAGAATTTTGAAGTACAGATCTACAACTTTCCAAGCACAGTAGATGGCATGAATGGAATTCCATAGCTACTGTTACATTTGTTTAAAATTCCTATCAGAGTTTTTCTTCTGTTCCATATAAACAATTTGCTTTGTGGTTTTTTTTTTTTTTTTACTTCCCCTTTCTGTATCTGTGTTTTTTCTACAGTCACCAAACAAACCCACAATTCCACAGGAGAAAATCCGGCCCCTGACCAGTCTGGACCATCCTCAGAGTCCTTTCTACGACCCAGAGGGAGGGTCCATCACTCAAGTAGCCAGAGTTGTTATTGAGAGAATCGCTCGGAAGGTAATGGGTTTGAGCCCACCAGCATAGCCAAGGAAACCCAACACCTTTCTGCTCTAGAATTTTGGGGGTGCCTGGAACTCCTGAGCTTTCAAGTGTTTCAGTATGCAAATTATTTAATAAGATGTAAATGAGCAAAATGAACTCAGTAGTTACGCCTAGTGCCCAAATGAATGATTTGATCCAGGTGGATAGGTTTCATCATGATTCCCACAGTTGATTACTCATGTCTGCCCTGGTCAGAATTCTTCCTTTGCCAACTCTGCTTTTGTGCACTTCTTTTTCAGTCAAGTTATAAAATTTGACCTAGAACTCTACCATGGATAGGACTGGTACAGAGTGGGCATTCAATTTTATGTCCTCCTTCATCTGTCCCCTGCACATTCCCTTCTTTCTCTAATGTGAGCCCTCCAAATAAAATTCCTTTTGCAGGGGGAACAATGCAATATTGTGCCTGATAATGTTGACGATATTGTAGCAGACCTGGCTCCAGAAGAGAAAGATGAAGGTAGGTTATTCTCCTATGTTGTAAGTAGCAATACAAATGGCATGTGCCATTGAGAAAGCAACTTGCTAACATGGTTTAAGAACTATAAACACAGAGGAGCATGGTGAAGTATGGCTGCAATCCCAGCAACTCAGGAAGCTGAAGCACGAAAATTGCAAGTTCCAGATCAGCCTGGGTAACTTAGTAAGACCCTATATCAAAAACAAAAAACTAAATAAAAAGGTCTGAGATGACAGCTCAGTGGTAGAGTACCCTGGGTTCAATCCCAGTACCATAAAAAATAAAAACATAGCCATATCCTTTGACCGGGTTATCCCATCTCTGAGGATTTCTCCTTAAGAAATAATCAGGGGCTGGGGTGTAGCTCAGTGACAGAGTGCATGCTTAGCCCACACCAGGCCCAGGGTTCCATCCCCAGCACCCCTCTCCACAAAAAAAAAAAAGCAAAAAGCAAGGCTAAAATTAGCCACCAATTATAAGGTAATTTGTGAAGGTATAATATTGAAATATGTATTCAATGGTATCACTCCTTTAAAATAACCACAAAGATGGAATTTGAATATTCAGATCACTTTCTGCTTGATTCTTGCACTGGCCTAGGAGGTAGACATGGGAATATCTACTCCTCAGCAAGGAAAAAGGCCCAGGTCCCATAGTCAGGAGGGAGTGGCAGAGCCAATCTTTGAACCTAGGTTTTCTCATGGAATCTGGAGCCGAACAATCTAGACTTTTATTAGCCTTCTGACCTTGGGCAAGAGGCTTTCTACCTCAGTTCCCTCACTGTAAAATAGGCATAATAATAGAACCTGCCTCACAGAAAGTAATTTAGTAAGATCCTGTCTCAAAAATAAAAACATAGAGCTGAGGCTAAATGGGATAAAACACATAGGTTAGCACATAATAAGTGCTCTACAAATATTAACTGCAGCTGGGTGCAGTGACACACACCTGTAATGCCAGTGGCTTAGGCAGGAGGATTGTGAGTTCAAAGCCAGCCTCAGCAAAATTGAGGCACTAAGCAACTCAGTGAGATCCTGTCTCTAAAAAATACAAAATAGGGCTAAGGATGTGGCTCAGTGGTTGAGTGCCCCTGAGTTCAATCCCAAGTACAAAAAAAAAAAATTAGCTGCCCTTACTTTTAACCATGTTTAAACTGTGTTTAGCAGACATTGGGAAGATGAAGCTGAAACAAATAAAATCTGTACTTTCTAAAAACTGTCTATGAAATGCCTACATGAGTTGGAAAACAACTTCTGCCAAGGTGAGGGACTGGTAATGAAAAGATGTGCATGTGTTGAGAGGAAGAGATAAAAAAGAGAAGTGTTCCTATCATTTGGATATTTACTAGCAAGATGTTGAAATTCGATTTTTAAAGACAAGGGAATGGCTGCTGCCATCCCTGGAGCACTCAGGCTCATGAAGGCTGGGTGGACAGCAGGGCTTCTCCTGCCTGCAGATGAGCTTCTCTGGCGAGAAGGCCTGCTGCAGCTTCCACAGGCTCCAGGGAAAACATCTCAACCACTCTTTCCAGATGATACTCCTGAAACCTGCATCTACTCCAACTGGTCCCCGTGGTCCGCCTGCAGCTCCTCCACCTGTGACAAAGGCAAGAGGATGCGGCAGCGCATGTTGAAGGCACAGCTGGACCTCAGTGTCCCCTGCCCTGACACCCAGGACTTCCAGCCCTGCATGGGCCCGGGCTGCAGTGATGAAGGTAAGGAGACAACCCAGACCAGTGGGCAGAAGCTCAAGAAGAGAGGTCTGCCTGGCAACACAGGCCCCCTCCACCCAGGCAGGCAGTGGCCCTGAAGGGGGCAGTAGGACCCTGACTATACTGCATACCCACTTCTGCAACAATGTCTTCGGGGCTCTGAGTCTAGAATGTCTTATGACATCAGAAGAATTCTTTTTAAAAAAATATTTTTAGTTGTAGACGGACACAATATCTTTATTTTATTTTTATGTAGTGCTGAGGATCGAACCCAGGGCCTCGTTTGTGTTAAGTGAGTGCTCTGCCCCTGAGCCACAACCCCAGCCCAGAATTCTAGAGGTTGCATGACTACCCTCTTCCCTCCCCAGCCATGGAACAGTGCATGCATACACTTGACTGCAAAGCAAACAGACAGATGTGTCTTATGACAAATTACAAATAACCGTAGCCTGATTCTGGATCTTAACTCCCCAATGGAGTCCATGAACAGGTTGATCAAGATGGAATCCAGGTGCACTGCCCTAATTCTGTCATTCATGACCCCTCATCAGTATTCCACCTCAACCCAAGCATTCGCATCCTGTCAGGATCTTCTCAGTCTATCTACAATTGCTTAAAGGTCAGGCTTGAACTACAAGCTTGCAACACCTATGTCACGATCAGACTTCAAGACTGCACAAAGCTGATTGCTGTGCAAAGGTTGACTGCCTGCTTCCCAGGGCATGACTCCTCTCTGCCTTGATAGACCTATATTCTCGCTCTCATCTTATTCTCTCAGAGGTGCAGTGAGGCTGCAGGAAGACACATACAAGCTATGGTGCACAGCAGGAAGAAAGCCACTTCCACGCAGAGGAAAAGAAACCTTACCCCCTACAATCATTCACTCCCCAGCTCTTCTTGGCTACAGGCTTAAATGCCTGTCCTTAAATACCTCTCTGGACTGCACTCACATATGGTTTATTGCTAACTAGTTTTTGCCCAAAATAAGGCACTTTGGAGGGGAACAAACCTTGCCATAGAGAGGTCATTCCTACAAACAGGGGAAGAATGTGACTGACAGATTAATGTTGAAGGTGCTTTCTTAGGGCTGTGGAGCTGAGGGCTACAGTGAAAATTGAGGCCTTTAATCTCCTGCTCCACAAAGAGTCTATCCTTATACCAGTTCAGGTGATTCCCAGCAGGTAATGACAGTTCTGGGCTGGGTCTGTTCTTTGTACCTGGGGTGTATGCACACTAGTAGCAACTCCTTATACCCACATCCCTTCTACACTGAATTATTTAAGGGAAATGGTTTAAATGGGGAGGAAGAAGAGATTCCTTTGAACATTCTTTAAAAATTATTTTTATAAGATGAATGTACATCATTATATTATAGCAACTGCATCTTCATCAAGTTTCTTCCTAATGATCCGGACCAAGCCATTTAGCCTAGCCTTTGACATCTCTCCCTACTTTCATACATCTTCCAAGGGACCATTTGAGGGATCTTTTGCAAATTAAGATGAGTCCTGTTGCTCATGTGCAAACTCCTTGGCTTAATTTATTGGTGAAATGGTCCTACAGAGAACCAGGGTAAAAGCATGGTTAAAAACAAGCACTCACATCTGACACAATCAACATTACACTGCAGTACTGAAAGGCACCTTTTCAGTAAAGGCACCTAAGGACTCTGTGGAGGTGGGTACTTGAAGATGGGAGCTTCTTGAGCTCCAGCATGTCCTCTCAGAACACACTCAAGTTGTCAGTAACCATATTCACCCTGTCCAAGGCAATGTCTTGCCAGGCCATGGTAAGACTGAATTATGGCTTGTCAAGTCCTATACCCGAAACTGTATAACACCAGAATATAATTACCTAATTGGTTGTACCTGCTGTCTTTAGTTAGGTCCAGTGTATGGGGTTTCTGTGCATCATCAACACTGTCTAGCCACAGTCCATGAGCTAAATAACAATGTCAGACACCATGTATGTGCAAGTTGACAGTCTGTGGACGGGCACAGGCTGGCTGCAAACTTTGCACACTTGGACCTTAGTTCTCCTTTCTCTCTCTCTCTCTCTCTCTCTCTCTCTCTCTCTCTCTCTCTCTCTCTCTCTCTCTCACACACACACACACACACACACACACACACACACACACATACAGTCTCTATAAAGGGGTGTTTGCAGAAGCCAGCCCCTCAAATGCAAATATCCTCTACTCAACAAAAGTGTTCTCAGATGTGCTTTCTGATATGAAATTTAACCCACAACTCAAAGACAGAGCAAATGTTCCCCCCTCTGTGCTGCCCCCATTCCCTAGGCTTCTCTTGTTCCATTTTCAATACCTGGAATTACTGTCAAATTATGTATCCGTCTCCACCCCTACCGCCATTCTCTCATAGGACAATATCATACCACTAAGCATTCATTAAATCTTCATGAACAAATGTGTGAGTGGATGGATGGATGGCCAAATGACTTCATTTTCCTCTTTAGAAATAAGCAGCTTATATTATTTTCCTCAGCCTTCCTCTGTTCCTCTCTCCTGGCATTCAGACATGACCCCTGGTCCCCCACCTGGTCAGCAGCTGGGGTATTGTCTTTTTTATTACCATCCTCAACAGGGGCATTGAGATGTCTGTTCAGTTGCTGTAATTTGCTCTTTGGACACAGATCAGCCCTGTGTCTCATAGCCCACCACGCTATCCTCAGAACAAAGTTCCTTCCTCTGGTTTTCTAGAACTCATAGCTTTAGACAATAAAGTTTCCATTTCCTCTGAACAAAAGTGCTTATACCATATCTCAGAATGAATCATTTCTTCCAGTGCTGTCCAAAAGAACTTTCCATGATGGTAGAAATGTTCTATATCCACACTGTCCAATACAGTAGCCACTAGGCACACATGGCAACTGAGCATTTGATGTGATTAGAGGCTGAAGACATGGATTTTTATTTACTGGTGTTAGATGTATGGACACATTTTAGACTATAAATGAACTATGACTTAAATATGTACACTAAATTATATGTACATTTATATTATATATGCATTTGTGTGTATACAGTCTAGAATTTAAGCATTAAATTTAAGCATTTTTTAAAGTATCCATAAATATAAATTGTGTCCACACAAATGTAATGAGTTATATAAACACTAGTGTGCGCATATGCATTATCACCATTCTATCCATTCAAGCATCTTTTAATTGTTTTCACAGGATTAAGAGTAATTTTGAGAGCCCCACATACCTGTAAAAGGGATATTTACTCTTAGAGAACAATTCTGGGTTTAGATTTAGACCTTTTATATTCTCTCCTCCACTACCTAACAAACCTTGAATGCCAGTGGTTCCTTTCTGGATTCTTGCTGGTGAGAAGTTCCCATGGCAAGGTCCCCAGCCAACTCCTGCCCCTACCCACCACACACGCTGAGCTTCCTGCACACTTTGGCATATTGCAGATGGCTCCACTTGCACCATGTCCGAGTGGATCACCTGGTCCCCCTGCAGCATCTCCTGTGGCATGGGTATGCGGTCCCGAGAGAGGTATGTGAAGCAGTTTCCAGAGGACGGCTCTGTGTGCACACTGCCCACCGAGGAGACAGAGAAGTGCACAGTCAATGAGGAGTGCTGTGAGTTGGGGAGCCATGGAGGGAGGATGGGCACGAGCAAACAGACCCAGAAGCCACTGGCATGACTCCAACTCTGTTGTACTCCCCAGCTCCCAGCAGTTGCCTGATGACCGAGTGGGGTGAATGGGATGAGTGCAGTGCCACCTGTGGGATGGGCATGAAGAAGCGGCACCGCATGGTCAAGATGAGCCCAGCAGATGGCTCCATGTGCAAGGCTGAGACATCCCAAGTGGAGAAATGCATGATGCCCGAGTGCCGTGAGTGGGTGTGGGGAGGGCACTGGGCAGAGGACCCAGAATGGGAGGTGGAAAACCAGAGCACTCCTTACAACCACATCAAGGTCAGAGGTGACAAGCACAGGGGGAAAGCATGGCCCAACACCTTTGTAGGGTGCTGCCAGGAGTAAGATGAGAGCCAGACCCAGAGACTGGCCTTTTTTGGTGGATATTCTAAGCAATGCTAGAACGGCAAACTGGTGGCTTTTGGATAGAATTCTGTAGTTCTTTCACAGAAGCATCTTTCTTGGGGCAGCAGGGAAGAATAATAATTTAGGCAAGGCATGCACTCCCCAAGCCGGGTCTCCATTCTTGCTCCATGCAAAAATGCATTAGACCCACACATCAACACACAAGGTAAACACACACTCAAGTACATATGCATCCTAGAGATTTCAGTATCAAAATCCAAAAATGCAGTATTGAGCCTATCCTTTAGTGCATAATTCTTGGATGTGGAATGTTTTATCTCTAGTAAGATCCTACTCAGAACTTCAGTGCTGTTTCAAGTGGGAACTTGTAAGCTCACATCACTGACCTCATCTGATGTCTGGTCATGAACAACAGCTGGGCCACAGGAGATGCAGGAAAGTATCAAGAAGGACAGTAGAGTGCAGAGCCACTTCTTGCTCCAGGGATTCACCATTCCATTTTACTCCAGGGGCCACAGCAAGGGACAGGGTTGGGGCATTGTGAGGCCAAGATCAAAGAAAACTGTTCTCAGTGGAAAACCTGACTCTTCACCTAGACACCATCCCATGCCTGTTGTCTCCATGGTCTGAGTGGAGTGACTGCAGCGTGACCTGTGGGAAGGGCATGCGGACCCGCCAGCGGATGCTCAAATCTCTTGCGGAACTTGGAGACTGCAACGAGGAACTGGAGCAGGTGGAGAAGTGCATGCTGCCAGAGTGCCGTAAGTCCTGGGTCCTGGAAACCCCTCCCCCTTCCCCTCCTAAGTTCCAGAATCCAGAGAAGTCTGAACAAGGTCAGTGCTGTGATCATGCCACTAGAATCTATAGTAAATGATTTGATGGGGAGTTAAAAGTAGGGTTTGGGTCTGTCTTGGCATAGTTATGTAACACTTCAGTCACTCTCATTACCAAAAACTGCAAGTGGTTATGATGTCTAAATGGGAGACATGTATATAAAACACACTCACTTCTTCCCCTCGTCCCATCTCCAATTATGGACTTCTCTGATCCATGAATTTTCTGAGCTATTTCATCCTGCTCTTCCTCCCTATGACCATTTTTGAACCCTTTGAACCAGACACTAAATCAATGACTCTAGCAGCCTGGTAAAAGACAGCAAGAAAACAAGCCAAGTTCTCTAAAACGTGCTATCTACCCCCATCTCCTCCAAAATCTATAGTCAGCTGTTTTTATGACACGGGGACAAATCTCCCAAGAAGAGAGATTTGTGGAGTTTTTCTGGCCAGCTTTCCACGACAGCTGCTCTCTTAGGTGATAAAAGGGCAAGCACACTTTGCTTGCTCTGATGTTTTCTGGCTTCCTCTAGTATGCACTGGCAGTCTGTCAAGTCTCCTCCCCTTTCTAGTACTCAGGTTCAAATCCCAGCTCTGTCCTTACTGGTTGCCTAACCTTCAGCAGACTGCTTAACATCCCTGTTCCTCAGTATCCTGATCTGTATGATCAGGAAATACTTCCTAGGTTGCTCTGAGGAATAAACCCAGTAACCAGCACAAAGTGTGAACACTGACTGGACTAGCAGGTGCAGACATCAACTGATGATCTATGATAGTTCCTGAGCTGTTTTAGCTAGACTGGATCACATGTATGGATAACCTGCACCATCAACCAAATAAAGTATGATGTTTAAAATAACTACAATTGGCCTGATAAGTCAACCCAGCTCATCAGGTTAGGGCCCCACACCCTTTTGACAGGGACAGTTACAACTGAAACAAGTCTTCATAAGGCCCAACGGAGAAAGGGTGGTGGAAACACTTACGTAGAACTTTGTTAACTGGGAGCATTGTCTCCTTTAATCCTCACAACCTAAGAGAGAAAAACACCATCATCCCCGTTTGCAGCTAAGAAAGCTTCCTGAGCTCCCGCAGGTGAAAAGGCCTGAAACTACTTAACAAAATGAGTATTTCCTAGATCCAGCCTAGCTCTCATTCTGCAAAGCCAATAGAGTGTGGAATCATTTGCCTCCTACAACACATCCTGCAAATCAGATCACTGTTATTCCCCCTTTACATTCATGAGGTGCTGCCCAAAGAATTTGCTGGATCTTGCACTATGATAAACCATAAAATAGCACTTGCTATTGACCCTCTGCTGAATTTCCCATTTCTGACTCCTGTATTTTTTTGCATAGACCACCATATATAGGACATGGAATGATGCTGAAAACTAGAAAAGCTGCCTGGGTCTTAAGAAAGCCACTATTCCTTCCTTTGTATTGGTCCCCAGGGGTCAAGCCACCAGTTATCTTGTTGACTTGTTCTTCCCAGGGAGGCAGCCTTGCTCCAAGAAACACCACCAGTAAATTATGTCTTCCTTAAGAAATTCTGAGTCCTTGCAGACTGTGGGAGGTTGGTCTGTGCCACTTTAGGCTGACTGAACAATATTCTAGAAGCTTATGCAGCAGGGCAAGAGGTTCTGAACATACCTTTAAAGTCCCTCAACACCTTCTTGAGTCAAAAACAAGATACAGAATGTGGGTCATGACCTGGCACCAGTCCTGCCTCTATTTACTGACCATGTGGGATGGATAATGTCATTCTGCTTCATGGAGCCTATTCCTTTTGTACACACATTTTTAGGCTTTGTACAATCTATAGGCTTGGTAAGACTTCAAACAAGTGTAAGTGACCATATCTTGTCTCAGATGTGAGATACACTCATGCCCATCTGTGTCTTGTCAGCCATTGATTGTGAACTCACTGAGTGGTCCCAGTGGTCAGAATGTAACAAGTCATGTGGGAAAGGCCACATGATTCGAACCCGGATGATCCAAATGGAACCTCAGTTTGGAGGCGCACCTTGCCCAGAAACTATACAGCGAAAGAAGTGCCGCATCCGGAAATGCATTCGAAATCCATCCATCCAGAAGCTGCGCTGGAGAGAGGCTAGAGAAAGCCGGAGGAGCGAGCAGCTGAGGGAAGAGTCTGACGGGGAGCAGTTTCCAGGTACATACACTTGCCAGTGTGCAGCTCAAAAAAAGAATGGGGGAAAGATTTCATTGACTTTTTAGATACATATTAAATATTTACATGAATATTTGAGAAAAAAATCATAATTTAGGAGGGGTCTTTACCAAGGAAAGTTTTAGAAATGTAATGATAATCTGCCAAATATAAATTTTCAAAGAACAAGCCTTTAGAAATTGTATAATTCCTTCCTCTGCATATATAAAAACCAGAAGTCTTGTCGAACCTTGCTCAAAATCACATTTATAACTTGCTAACCCCATTTGTTTCTTCCAAAGGGGTGAAATAATGGCATAGGTTTGTCAGAAGTCTTGATCCTTATTTAGGAAATGTTTTCCAGGACCTCTTGGAATGTTACCCATTTTAAGGGTGTGGTTCAGCCAAGACAGCCCCAGCCTATGGCTCCTTGATTTATTTTTTTCAAGGTTAACCACCAAGTTTAGCAGCAGTATGTCAGCCTTGAGTTTTATTTCTTCAAATACCATGGATCAAGGCTGCCATGATAAATAAGTGATAAATGCTCCAAAGGAACAATGAACCAACTGCTAATGGGGCCAGAAATAAGCATCTTACACTGACTTGAATTTAGGGTGAAGCCAAAGCTGGGAAAATTAAGACTGGGCCTTGAAGAATGTGAAGTTTGCCAGTTCAAGAAACATATTCCAGCCAGCAGAAATAGCAACTGCCAAGGCACAGAGATACCCAAGAGTATATATTCAAGCAACAGATGGTATACAGATGGAGCAGAGGACAAGGAAGGGAGGCAGGAAACCAGACTGAAGAAAGCCAGACCATAAAAGGCCAGTTGCTGATTGAGGATTTGGAACTTGATTTTCTAGGTGAAGGTCTCAAGCAAGAGTGATTTTAACAGACCTGTGTTGGGTCATTTGGAAGAGGCAAAAACAGAAGCACAGAAACCAGTTATTAAGTTTTGCTTGTAGCCCAGCAGGAAAAAAAAAAAAAAAAGAGTATAGGTCCTCCTCCAGCATAACTTGAGGGAGTTCTAGGACTTAAAATAAATAAATAAATAAATAATCCCTACCTGGGGCTGCACTGCTGAATAAACTAACCCAAGCTAAGAGAGCAATACCCCTCACAAACCAATGAGATAGTGAGTTGGGAAGATCCACAATTAAGCCTTGGGCACAGACTGATAGAGTTTCTTTGGATTCCCTGGAAGGGTGAGGAAGGTACCTACAAAAAAGTTAAGACCAATTTGTCAAGCCATTTCTAATTATTTTTAAAGGTGCAGCTCAAATGACCCCTTTATGCTTCCGTAAGATACTCTACCTCATGCCAGGCATGGTGGCACAAGGCTATGATCCCAAGCTACTCAGGAGACTGAAGCAAGATTGAAAATTCAAGGCCAGCCAGGGCAACTTGGCAAGACCCTGTTTCAAATTTTAGAACAAATTAAAGGATAGGAGGGGCTAGAGATGTGGCTCAGTGGTAGTGTGCCCATGGGGGTTCAATCCCCAGTAAGGGGGAGGAGAGCTTTACCTCTACCTGAGATGATGATGAAAGAGGTGTACAGATGTGAGAAGCTACCAGTACACTGTCCTATCTTTAGGGAGCTGTTCACACATTAAGATACCTATTGCACATGGTCAACCAATCAACATTCATTAAAGCCATCTATATGCTAGGCTCTTAGTTTCACCATGAAACTTAACCATAGTATGGTAAACAGATATCTAATGCATGATCATAAATGTGATGGGTTCGAAGTAGGGTAGATAGTGAGCTGTGGAAGCATGAAAACAAAAAATATGATCTCTAGGGGTTAAGAAAATTTATTTGAGAAAGGCAAGTTTACTCTAAGTAGAAAAAGCAAGTAATTGTTCTTTAGTTAGTATTTGGGAGGTTAAACTTAGGGAACAAGACATACAAAGAATTGTTTTGTGCTCTTTGAGTGGTTGCTGCCTCACAAGCAACTCCAGAGTCACCAATGGTTGGACTGTTTGCTTGTTTAGTTTTCACTTTTGCATTTTAAAAAAAAATTAGCTGTCAATGGACCTTTATTTATTTATATGTGGTGCTGAGAATCAAACCCAGCGCCTCACACATACTAGGCAAGTGCTCTACCACTGAGCCACAGCCACAGCCCCCCAAATAGCAGATTTTTAAAAGATCATTTATTAACATGATGCTGCAGGTCAGTGACTTGAGCTCATTCAGCTGGATTATTCTTCTGAGGTCTAGCTTGTGTTCATTCCCATTCATGTGGCCACAATCAAAGAGCTACATGGGCCATACAGGCCTCAACTGATTTTCTGGGGCATCAAGGGATAGCTGGGCCTTTCTCTACATGGTTTCTCCCATAGGTTTATCCAGATTCAAACAGTGGTGGAAAGGTTCTTAGCAACTTTTCTCAAGCTGTTTCAATTGATGGGCTGCTTTGCTTAAATGTAACCAGTGATTATACCACAGATCAAAGTTACTGAGTGTGCAAAAAGCAGTTTTCCCTTGGTTTGGTTTGGTGTTTTGGTGTTATAATCCTCCTAGGAAGATAGCCACTGGTCAAAGCAAGTCACGTTGCCAAGCTCAGATTCAAAGGGTAAAGAACTGAACTCTGCCCCTTCACAGAAGAACCAAAAAGCATGAATGGTTTTGATTGTTTGTTTTGTAATCTATCACATATGAGTGAATAGTCCCTAATGAAGACTCTAACAATTAGTTAATTCCACAAATCATTAGATATAGAAGCAGAGAAGGAGCCCAGACAAATGAATTCTTCAGGTCAGCACTCCAATTCTCCTGACCTAACCAGGCATTCTCATGTTTCCAGGCTGTAGGATGCGCCCATGGACAGCCTGGTCAGAATGCACCAAACTGTGTGGAGGTGGGATTCAAGAACGCTACATGACTGTGAAGAAGAGGTTCAAAAGCTCCCAGTTTACCAGCTGCAAAGACAAGAAGGAGATCAGAGCATGCAACGTTCACCCTTGTTAGCAGGGATACAAGTTTCCCAGGGCTGCACTCGAGATTCCAGAGTCACCAATGGTTGGACTGTTTGCTTGTTTAGTTTTCATTTTTGCAGTGTTGTTTGCCCAATAGTCTTGTGGATACCAGGGATGTCCTTTGTGGATACTTTTTGGTGGGTACAGGCCATGTGGGGCTCCCTCAATTATGTTTGGCCCTCTTCCTACAGAAAAATTAGTGTCAGTTGCCTTGTACTAAACTGAAGCATGTTCCTCTGGAGCATCCACCTGGCCAGGCAGGACAGAGACCCTGGCCTCCTCCACATGGAGGGGGAACTGTGTCTGGAAATGACTGTGTGCCTGGGTGCCAGGGTGCAGCAAGTAGTAAACACACCTGTCAGATGAAAAGAACAGATTCCCCTCTTTCTTATCTTTGACCTGTTCATTCTTGCAGAAAACTTCCATTTGCCTATCTCTCTTCATTTAGTGGAACTTTAAGTCTCGTTAAGTCTACTCAGTCATTATAAGTTCTTGGGGGAAAATGGTCCGAAGGAGAACTGATATGGGTAGCTTTTATTCATACACTAAGAAACTCTATGTACATTTATCTTGCCTCCTAATATTGGCTCCTGATACCCCAAAGGATGAAAATGATGACTGTTGTATTTAAATGGAACCAGTTCTTACATCAGTGTTGAAGGGTATGGGTATAGAAAGTTGTCTTCCCTTGGTTTTGCTTTGGGTTTTGGTATCATAATTCTCCTAAGGAAGCTAGCTTTATGAATGCTTTGATAAAAGATCCTTATTGGAAGCAAGGCCAAGGCACCCAAATTTTCCTGCCAGTTCCAAACCTTGAGTTTTCAAATCTTCCTATATATCTATCCAGACTTTGAAGTTTTCAAATCAGTTTCTAAAAAGAAAACATTTTAGTTATACCAACATTTTACTAAGTCTGCCCAAAGGCCCCCATATCATTTCTTCAACAAAACTACCATCTCTGAACCTAAGTTATTTTTTAGTCATAAAATTTTATATAGAGAGAGAAAAAGACTTGACAAAATCTAGAGAAAAAAATATTATGGAATCAAGCTGAAATTCTGGTACAAAGACAAGCCTGTGTCAGCTTTCTACACCAGGGCTCTGGTTCTCATGGATATGAGAAATCTACTCCCTTCTAAGCCATTATAAGCACACCAAATTCAGGGAGACTGACTACCAATGATTAGTGTAAAAGCACTATTTTCTCAGTTGAGCCCACTGACAGTTTTTGCTCATGCATTTATTGTTAAAACTATAGTTTCACTTCTTTTGCAGGCCTTTTTTTATTACTGCTTAATCCAAATATATACCATGGGCGAGATGCATACAATGCTTTGGATATGCTACTTTTAAGAATTTGCATTAAATACTTCAGGATATTTCAAACAACACATATATGCTATAGCCCTGAATATGTATTTTCTTTTAACACAAGAGAGACTATTCAATAAAAAACTCATTGGGTCTGTTGTTTGTGTTTTTAAGCTAACTAAATGTGCAAATGGTTGGATACTTTAACAATTGTTATCCAAATCAATCATTTTCAGTAAGATATGGGTTTTACTCTATCTGAAGGGGCTATTACAGCCCTGAGTTACTCTGGAGTTTTGAGTTGTTTCCAATGTTATTTTTTAAAAATTCTTCAATGAATTGCTCTCTTCCCCCAAAGGAGCATAATATTTAAAAAAAAAAAAAATAGGAGGTTTAATTTTCCACTTTGGGCAACAACAACAAAGTCCTGCTATAGAATCTGCCCACTTTTGCAACATCTAGCTATCTTGATATTCAAAGTTCTCTAAGATGGTGATGCCTAAGTAACTCTAAGACAAGCTGCCCTAGTGTCTCATGTTCTTATTTGGTCCCTGTTGGGTACATTTTTAGTCTTGATTTTGAAGATTTAAAATCAGGTAATTGGTTAATGGCTAAGAACAGGTAACATGCTTCTCTACACAAGTGTTTTTTGTTTGCATTGGGGAATTTATAAAAAGTGTCAAATCTCTTTCTTACCAAAGTCTTCTGTTAGTTGGTTTATAGTTTTTCTGGCTAATCATTTTGGAAATAAAGACTTTTTACTACAAAAATGCAATCCGTTTGAACTTCCACTTGAGATGGTAAAGATTATAAGAAAAACTGCCAAATAAAAAACAGATATAATTGTACATATTTTTTATCAGTGCCAAACCAGTTATCTTATTTACATCCACAAAAGATAACAATAAGAAGTTCAGAGATACATTTCCCAGTCAAACATTGGGTTACTTACCTGTTGCCTTGCCAATGCATTTTATTTGAAGAAAATCTGTTGTAGCAAATAATAAAACCTAGGCTTCTTTAGACCCAGAACTGAAGAAAAAAAAAAATCAAAAAGAATTTGTGCTGTTTTTCACTTGAAGTTTGTGTACTAAATATGTGTTAGGCATACTCAAAGCCTTTGTACTCTCTTCCAAGAAGTAAGGGTACATTACACATTCTCACGTCACTTCAACTCTCCAGAAACTTAACCTACATCAAGATCATTGCTAAAAAGTCAATATACAAAAATTACTCACAAATTATCTGTGACCTATTTCTGTTTAGCCTATGTTTCAGGCAATGAAGGACAAAAATAAATTTTTAAAAAATCTGAAAACACAACTGCAAAAAGTCCTCTCCAGATATTGTTTAATGGAATCTGACCTGGAGGGGGTTTTTTTAGTTTTGTTTTTTAAACAGTTTTGGAAATTTTGTTACATGGTATTAGTTCGCTTAGAAAGGAGTTAAATATTTATACCCTAAAGAAATGGGTACTATTATTCAAACTAGATTAAACCATAAATGTTTAATCTCTAGTTACAACACAGAATCAAGGAAGACAGCCATTTCCACTACTTTGCTATTTGGTGCTATTAGTTTTAGTAGAATGATTCATATTGTTCTTCAATATTGCCCAAAGTAGGGAGACTGAAAATAAATCAGTCCCTTTTGAAAATGATTGAGATGCAGTAACAAATTATAAATAGCAGCTGAATGTTAATTAGCATGAAGCTAATTCTTCAATTTAAATCCTTTGAAACTGAAAGGAAAAGATCTATTCTAAAATGTCACATTTAAATAACGATTTCCCTACTTCGGAAATCTTGTGGGTTCAGAAGCCTTATATATTCCATAGGGTGGAGTAGCAGAAGCTGTGTAATGGTTAAACCTGGGGAATCCTAAGTTCAAATGACTGCTGCACCTGAATAGCTGTGAAAGCTGGGAACAGTTTACCTTTTCTGACCTCAGAATCAACACAAGTTTTCTCATACTAAGGAACTCCTCTACCTGACCTTCAAAATGGAGCAGTTCTCACCTTGAGTGCAGGTCCTTGTGGACTCAATGAAAGCCTACTCTACTCTGCCCATCCCTCACTTCTTCATAGACTAGTAAATGCCCACTTTGTGTTGAAGCGAGTTTGAGTTGCATTTCAATCACTTATAATAAAACAGTCATGATAAAATAAGTATGCATAATCTTTACAGTTATCATCATAGCAAAATGTAATTTAAGACTTTCCACTTAACATTTATGGTATCTTAACATAGGACAGCATTAACATTTTCTCATAATGCTCTTCCCATATTTAGCCTACTGATAATAGTTCTCACATTTTTAGTAGTTACATACTTAAACATTTTTCTTTATCTCAAATAGTTTTTAAGTACTAACAGGAGAGAAAGAGCAAACATCTTACTCAAGACTATTTATTCTTTACAATTTACTTGGGAGTTTGTAAAAGTACAGTTTTTGTTTTTCAAAGTTTTGGAATACACAACTCCTGTACTCCAACAGGTGATCTTGGGTGATCCTAAACTAAACTTATTTGCCCACCTAGAAAGTCAGAGGGCCACTTGTGAAACATAGCTTAATCTCTTACTCCCCTCACCACTATACTGGTACTACTCAGAGCAAGACCAATAACCTGAAAACATTCACAAAAGAGATTTAGAAATGGAAAGCAAGTGTTTAAAAACTTTTATATTCATCTGACATTGCCACAATACCCAAGAAAATGGTAATTTTCCTAGTTAATTCATTTTTCATTACACTTAGCAAAAGGTTCAGCCCATAAAACTGGAGATTAAATGTTTCCTTAAAACTGGAGCTTTAACAGATGCCTAAGAAGCTCTGCACCATGCCATTCTCCCCGATCAGAAAGGGATGTGAGCCTGCAAACCCCAAGCTTTCAGAATCTTTCAGAGGCTTCAGTATGTAGACAGTAACACCTAGTTCCAGATTTGGTACTGACATACCTGTGATTAAATACCTTGCACAGGCTCCCTTTCTTACTCCTCTAACAGCCTACCCCTAAAGCAAGATAACTGCCCCAGCAACCTAATTTTTACCACTGAATTTCTCAAAATAACTCACATTTAGTTTCTCCAATTACACAACTCATTCTTATCTAGTTTCCACAACCAGACAGCTAAAAAAAGAATCTAAGGAAGTCACCAGTGACCTGAAAACTACCACTGCTGCCTCTCACCCCGCAGTCCTCTGCATAGCACCCAATGCATTTTAATACATTTTACCATCCCTATGTGTTCTCCTGGCCTCCTGGACAATACAGGCTCCTGGTTCTCTTCAGTTTCTGGCTGCTGCTCTTGGCTTTTTGCTGCCTCTTACTTTTCTACTCCCCAAGTCTTTGTTTTCCCATAAAATTTTATCCTGGGATCTTCTCTGAAACACTCTCTAATGGGTATTATCCACTTCTCTCTCTTCATTCACTAGTTTAAAATTGATAAATTCCAAATCTGAACATCTACTCCTTCTGAAACAATAATCCCCATTTCCCAATGCCTCCTGACTAGCCCTCCTGTCACTATCATTAGAGTTGCCTGAGCTCCTTATTTTAATTAATAGGACTACTATCATTCTGCTCAACAAGATTCAATATCTTAGAGCCTTATTTCCAAGATGTACCTCTGATGTTCAGTCTCCTTCTCCCCATTCTACTCAGGTCTTCATCATCTTTTTCTGAAATCATTCATTTGTCAGTCAAGTTATTTTTCTGCACATGCCAAGCCATATGAGTAAGGTAATAAACACAAAGTACATGACTCTGTCCTCACAAAGAGTTTATGATAATAAGAGGGTAGATTCCAGGATTCCAACAACCTCTTGCCTGACGTCCCCTTCTTAAATTTGCACTTCTCTGCATTCACACTACCACTAAGATTAGATCCAGGAAACTCCTATTGAGAATCCTTGGCAGTTTCCTATTACATACAGAGAGGCCATCCTGTTTAAAGCCCCCCCACAACCTGATCTCAGTCTAAGTGATGATATTTTTTTCCTTTGCACTAGAACCTTTTTAGACCAAGGTTCCAATCTCAGCACACACCCTGCATTCTGCCTTGGGCCAGGCTTTTCCCAGTCTTTCTGCCACATCACTCTTCTTTCCTTGCCATCTCAGATCCTACAAATCTGTTGAACTCCAGCAAAAACATCATTTCTAACTAAGATTTTTCCTTGAAAAACCCTCCCATCTACCCTCCCATCAGCTGCACTAGACAATGCTTTTAGCGTGCTTTTCATACTTTTCCTTGAAATATGGAGACCCAGCGTGCGTTTGTGTCATTCTTAATCTTCCTCTATTAGACTCCAAGTCATCTGAATGAATAGTTCCATATTTATCTATTTTCCAGAACACCTAAATCCCCAAAAAAATATGCTCAGTCAAGTATTTTTCATTAAAATACCTTTTCTTAACAATTAAAATACCATTTTGCTTTAAAAAAAAATACTTGAAACTTTAGAGGCAGTCACAGGTTAAATAGCCTTAATTAGATAGTGATGAGAATTTGAAAATGATCACTTGATCGTCATCTCCTCCTGTTTACCTCCCAATTATCCGTTCAATAGAATCAAATGTTTAGCAATGAGAAAAAGAAGAAAATGAATTAAAACAAATCAAGTGGTGATGAAAAGTTAAAAGAAGAGCAAAGCTAGACCTTGAGTATGTACAACCTTGTGATATCAAATTTTAAAAATCAAAGGATAATGTAAGAGACCAATTTATAACATAACATTCCAATCCTACAAATCTGTTAAAATTAGCAAATCACCAAAGCAACATGTGCACCAATTAGAGCATAATGTCCAATTCTGAAATACTATAAGTCTCTTAATAAGCAACATAGGGAGAAAACTCATAAGACAGAAATTCATCATCATACATTCAGGAAATTCTACTGAATTTCCACAAAAATAAAGAGACATAAGAAATTCTGAAGTTAAGTAGAAACCTCAAATGTTAAATGTGGCACAGACCAGGGCTGGCAAACCATGGCCCAAGGGTCAAATTTACCCTACCATCTGTTTTCATAAAGAATGGTCTTTACAATTTTAAATGAATGGGAAACTTATGTGAAAGATGAGTATTTCATGACATTTGACCATGACATGAAACATAAATTTCAGTATACACAAAGTTTTATTGGAGCTCAGCCACATTTTTTCTCTTATTTATACATTGTTTATGGCTGTTTCACAGTGCTAGAATGGTAGAATTGTGTAGTTGGGAAAGAGACCATATGGCCTTCAAAGCCCAACATGACATTTAGTTATCTATCTCTTTAAAGGAAAAGTTTTCCAACCCCCAATTAAGAGAGAAAATAATGGCCACATAGACCAGAACTACTCACGACACATACAGAGAAAAAAGTTTTCAAGTCAGAGATTCAGAGAACTAAACCTCTGACTCTACAAACAGAAATAAAATAGGAGCCAGACGTGGTGGTGCACACCTGTAATCCCAGCTACTCAGGAGGCTGAGGCAGGAGGATAGCAAGCCTGAGGCCAGACTCAGCAACTTAGCAACACCCTGTTCTCAAAGTAAAATGGGCTGGGGGTACAGTTCAGTAGTAGAGCACCCTGGGTTCAATCCCCAGTACAACAAAAAAGGAGTAGGAAGAGAAGGAGGAGGGGGTAGGGGGTAGAAGAAAGGGGATAGAGGAAGGAGGGGAGCAGAAGTAGTTGAAGAAAGAGGAGAAAGAAATCAAATGGGAGAACAGACACTTCAATTTTTTTATCATGAGGAAGTTATGAAACAGATTTATCCTCCTAATTTTGACAGTTAAAACATGAGACTAAACTGGGTGGGATAGTCCATATCTGTAGTATTGACTCAGGAAGCTGAGTC